TCCATCCATCCATCCATCCATCCATCCATCCTTCCTCCATTCAACCATCCATCCATCCATCCATCCATGCCTCCATCCATCCATCCATCCATCTATCCATCCATCATCCATCCATCCATCCATCCATCCATCCATCCATCCATCTGTCCGTCCATCCATCCATCCATCCATCATCCATCCTTCCTCCATTCAACCATCCATCCATTCAACCATCCATCCATCCATCCATCCATCCATCCATCCATCATCCATCCTTCCTCCATTCAACCATCCATCCATCCATCCATCATCCATCCTTCCTCCATTCAACCATCCATCCATTCAACCATCCATCCATCCATCATCCATCCATCCATCCATCCATCCATCCATCCATCCATCCATCCATCCATCCATCCAAACAGGACTTTTTTAAAGAAGCGTCCATATGTTTGGGGATAGAAAAAAGCAGAAAAAAGCTAAATTAACCCTTTAAAGCCTGATCTAAGTCTTTATTTGGCCCTGTAACAAAATATGACATAGAATAGAAAACAAATACTTTTTAAATAATTATCATTTATTACCTTGCTATAAGTCAAAATTATCGTGGTGTAGTTTTCTGCCCTCTGTAATAAGGTCTATCTGATTGTGTACAAAAGGGTTTGAGCAAAGTTTTTAACATTAAATGATGCATTTAATTGATCAAATATGATACATATGGCATAGAAAAAGGCCAAATTAAAACTTGTATCGGCCGTTACCCATCAGATACCTTTTTAAAAAGTTATATTATGGATTTGCTGCATACAATACGAGTAGAACGACACAATACCATGGTTTGAAAGTATTTTTCAAATTTACAACAGAACCTACTAAACACCAAATCTGAGCTGGAGAGAAATTAGACAAGGAAGGATATAAGGACATAAACAGGAATAAAAAAGAGCACCTGAAAGAGGCAAAGTCTCTCAGGTGCTTCTACAAATTGTGATGTAATTAAATAATAATGGACCTTTCTGCCAGAGGGTTCTGGGTTGGAGTCCCGGGGGAACCAGGACCTTTCCGGCAAAATACTTTGATGAAAAAGATAATCAGACACATTCAAACAGCTTCAAAATATGAAAAAATGTGAATTCTGGGGACTTTATCTCCATGTTTTAGTCAGTATTTTGTGCATCTGAGCCAATGAAAGCTCACCTTGGTCAGGTTTTAACAGGAAACGATAGTTTGCTTTGTTTGGTTTGAAAATGGCCTCAAAACGCTTTTTTAAAATAAAAGCAAAGAAAGCATTTGTGAGATTGAGCAAAACTGTTAAATACACCGATAACGTGCTGACAACAACTTCTTTTAAAGCCCTTTTGTGACTTTAAAATGGTGTAAAAAAGGACCTGAGAAGCAGAAATGAGGCTTTATCTGAGGTTAATTTAGCCTTTTTGGCTACTTTAAACAGCTTTCAGGATGAAATGGAGGCATCCAGGTGCTATTAGAGGAACAGAAAGCTGAACGTTTGAGAGCTGATGCTGAGTAAGGCGGAGGCCATCTTAGGCCCAGGCCAACAGGAAGTGGGGGCTTCTTCAGAGTGAGCGGTTGCCGTGTGGTGGTGTTAGAAAACAGGGTTTGTTTGAAAGGGGAATCGCAAACATGAAGGCAGCAAAAGGGACGATAGCGGCTCTGTTTCTGGCCACTCTGCTCTCTAGAGGTAAGCTCTCATTTCCATTTCCATTTTCTCAGAGGTGTCAGAGGGTTCCAGGTCTGATTCAAAGAAAAATGACAAGTAAAAGTTATGAAAATATGAAAGTGTGATTAGCCTTTTAAAGCCAGAGAGTTTAACCCAAAAGTAGAATTATAAAGGGAATAATATGAATCTAAAAAGTCATTTACATTGATTAAGTTATAGCATACTATGCTAATGTGAGTAATTAGAGCCCAGTTCTAACACTTCTTAGCTTTTGATTACACAACAATGACTCATAATATTATATGAATATCAATAAATGTGTTCAAATCTTTATGCTGCAAACTTTTCCTACAATTATTTAATATTTTACGTCTCTGTGCAGGTCAAAACAAGCTTTAATCAGACTAATAATATCAATATAAAAAGTCATTTACATGGATTAATGTATGACATACTTTGCTAACGTGAGTAATTATAGCCCGGTTCTAACACTTCTTTGCTTTTGATTACACAACAATGACTCATAATATTATATGAATAATAATAAATGTGTTCAAAGCTTTACGCTGCTAACTTATTTAATATTTTACCTCTCCGTGCAGGTCAAAACAAGCTTTAATCAGACTATAATATCAATCTAAAAAGTCATTTACATGGATTAAGTTATATCATACTGTGCTAAAGTGAGTAATTATAGCCCAATTCTAAAATTTCTTTGCTTTTGATAACACAATCAATCTAAAAAGTCATTTCCTGATAAGAAAGTGTGGATGTTGACCTTAAAGATGAGTATCTACTGTAACAGAGAGAGGAGGAGGAGTCAGAGAGTTTAACCCAAAAGTAGAATTATAAAGGGAATAATATGAATCTAAAAAGTAATTTACATGGATTAAGTTATAGCATACTATGCTAACGCGAGTAATTATAGCCCAGTTCTAACACTTCTTAGCTTTTGATTACACAACAATGACTCATAATATTATATGAATATTAATAAATGTGTTCAAAGCTTTACGCTGCAAACTTTTATGACAATTATTTAATATTTTACGTCTCCATGCAGGTCAAAACAAGCTTTAATCAGACTATAATATCAATATAAAAAGTCATTTACATGGATTAAGGTATGACATACTTTGCTAACGTGAGTAATTATAGCCCGGTTCTAACACTTCTTTGCTTTTGATTACACAACAATGACTCATAATATTATATGAATATTAATAAATGCAAACTTTTATGACAATTATTTCATATTTAATGTCTCCGTGCAGGTCAATTAAAGCTTTAATCAGACTAATAAAATCTAAAAAGTCATTTACATGGATTAGGTTATAGCACACTATGCTAAAGTGAGTAATTATAGCCCGGTTCTAACCCCGGGACCTGTCTGGGGGTCTCTCCCTGTAGGTGCCCGGGCCCAGGACACGGACACGCCCACCGTGTTCGTGTACGCGCTCCTGGGGGGGGAGGCCCTGCTCCCGTGCGCGCGCCCGCCCCCCCCCCGACTGCTCCAACATCACCTGGACCTTCTTCCGGAGCGGGCGCGTGCGCCACACGGAGGAGGTGCGCGGGGGGCGCGTGCGCGCGGGCTCGGACAAGGCCGAGCGGATGACGGTGGCGCGCAACTGCTCCGTGGTGCTGCGCGCGCTGCGCGTGGACGACGCGGGCTCGTACGTGTGCGTGGAGGGCCAGCGGCCGCGCGCGGACGTGTACGTGTCCGTGCTGGCCGTGGGCTCGCGCTCCCCGGTGAGCCAGCTGCGCGCGGGCGGGAGGCTCGCGCTCAGCTGCGTGCTGCACACCTACTACGACGCGGGAAGCTGCAAGCCCTACTCCAGCAGCGCGTTCGGCCTGCAGTGGCGCGAGGACGGGCACGCGCTCCCGGCGCGCGGCACCAGGTGGGACGTCGACCCAGAGAAGTTAGAAATACTGAAACATTTTTTTAAGGCAATCAATTTCCGCAATTCTTCGGAGTCCTGAAACTCAAATATTAGAGTATAACAGAGCGTTTGGGCTTTATTTCAAATTTACGTTCAAATTGTGATTACATTTAATAGGCTAATTAAGAGGCGGCACGGTGGTGTGGTGGTTAGCACTACCGCCTCCCAGCAAGAAGGTTCTCGGTTCAAATCCCGAACTAACACTTTGTCAGTTTACAAAAAAAAATAATTAAGGCAATCAATTTCCTCAATTTATTTGGAATCCTGAAACTCAAAGATTCGAGTATAACAGGGTTTATGTGTTTGGGGTTTTTTATTTTAAATTTACGTTCAAATTGTGATTAAATTTAATTATCCAATTAAGCCAACTCAAAATTCCACAGTTTCTGCTACTCAGAATATTATCAATTTCCGCAATTCTTTGGAGTCCTGGAACTCAAAGATTCGAGTATAACTAAGCTTATGTGTTTGGAGTTTTTTATTTTAAATTTAAATTCAAATTGTGATTAAATTTAATTGGCCAATTAAGACAACTCAAAATTCTACAGTTTCTGCTACTCAGAATATTATCAATTTCCGCAATTCTTTGGAGTCCTGAAACTCAAAGATTCGAGTATAACAGAGCTTATATGTTTGGGGTTTATTTTAAATTTACATTCAAATTAAGTTGGCTTAATTGACCAATTAAGCCAACTCAAAATTCTTCAGTTTCTGCTATAAAGTAGGTTGTTCTGCGTCCGTTCAAATGGGAGAAGAAAGCAGGACAAAGGAAGGGATTGGTTTACGACGCATAGGATCATAGGATTATATTATATATATATTATATTATTTATTTACAGGTGGGTTTTATACTTGCTGCACAGATGGGTCAGAGCAGGGAAAATATCACAAACATCCTTTATTTTTCTTTTTTACTGACATGTCATCAGAAGGAGATTTCTTGAGAAATTGCCAAGAAAAAAATATATTCAACTTTTTATTATATATTATATAGTATAATATATATATAATAATATAATATTATTATATTAGTATAGGATTACTGGGGAGCCTTTAATATTTTGTCCGTTTAAACTCACAAATGATAGACCATATTTGGGGCAGTTTCCAGCTTTTCCCCTTAATTTCCTCTAAATATATCAATAATCAAATAGAATTCAGGCTAAATACTTTGATTAAAAAGATAATTAGACACATTCAAACAGCTTCCAAATGTCTCATAGACCAGGAAATATGTCAGTATTTAAACTCAGTTTAAATTCACAAATGATAGACCGTATTTGGGGCAGTTTCCAGCGTTTCCATTGATATCCACTAAATATATCCATAATCAAATAGATCTCAGGTCAAATACTTTAATTAAAAAGATAATTAGACACATTCAAACAGCTTCAAAATGTCTCATAGAACAGGAAAATCTCTCTTTCTGTGTTTTTTTAAATATAATTTCTCTTTGATTTATTGTGACCAAAGTTTTGTTTTATGCATTTTTAAAATGTCTCCAATCTGCTTTTGTTTCTAGTTTACAGTGTTCGAATTTGGGGAGTTTGGGCTCGATTGTACTTGAAAGAAAGGCATAAAATTAAGTTATTTTCATGAAAGAATTCCACCACAATGATGACAAATTTCAGTTTAAAATGACAACACCCTAAATTGGGTTTAAATATGATTTTTCGTTAGAAAATGGCCTCAAAACCCTTTAAAAAAAAGCAAAATACTTTGATGAAAAAGATCATTTTTCACATTCAAACAGCTTCAAAATGTGTATTCAGGGGACTTTTTCTCCATGTTTTTGTCAGTATTTTGCATCTTAAAAAGCTCACCATGGCCAGGTCTTAACAGGAAAGATGAATTAGGGAACCTAGGGGACCTAGGCCCTCTCAGCCAGGGAGGGTTAAAATACTCTAGTGTTTAAATATATCCATAATCAAATAGATTTCAGGCAAAATACTTTGATGAAAAAGATAATTAGACACATTCAAACAGCTAAAAAATTTGAAAAATTTGAATTTTAACAGGAAATGATTAATGTCTAGGGAACCTAGGCCCTCTCAGACAGGTGTTTTGGTGCCATTAAAGGGAGCTGGTGGGAATAAAGATGGCCGACGGGTGTCTGAGGCCTGGTCTGTGTGCAGGCACCAGCTGGTGGAGAATGGCCGCTGTAACATCACCCTGGTGGCCACGCTCCAGCCGGAGGACGACAACCGGAGGTGGACCTGCCTGGTCAACACCAGCGAGCACAGCCAGGCCGCCGCCGTGGACATCAGGTCCTCCTTCCTGATCCAGAGGAGGCCCCCGGCCGCCCCCCCGACCCCCCCCGCCGGCCCCTGCCCGGCCCGGCCCCCCATTAGCCGCATCGTGCTGGTGGTGGCTCTGCCCCTCATGGTGGTCTTCGTGTGGCTCTTCTCCTGGAGGGCCGACCACAAGAGGGACAAGACCCCGGCGGTCTCTCTCCGGCTGCAGGAGGTCCACCGATTGTAGACTCAAGGGAAAAAAAACGAACGAATAAATACAAGATAATACGACTGTTATTGTATTTTCATTCAGATTCTGGCACAGAACAAGATTCAGATCTTACATGGTGCTGAGCTAACTGTGTGTTGACTTCTTCCAAGCCAGAAAAGTTGAGTTAATGGTGAAATAAATTACATTCATAGCAATATTGTCCTCCATTTAAGCAAATAACAGGCGCCTAAACCCAAGAACATGAGAGGCAGTGGGCCGTATTATTCACACATGTTGAAATCATTAAACACGTATCTTCAGATGTTCTTTTTTCTGCAGGATGCAGAGCTCAAGCCGGGCCGGAACTGGTTGAAATGGCAGCTTTGCTGATTATCAGCAGGACAGATTAGGTTTATCTGATGTTCTTCTTATCTATCAGTAAATTGTAGATATCATGTCACGAAAAAATGAAGTAGCTCAATTTTTTCATGTGGTGATGCTGGAATGTGATGTATGTATTTGTTTAAAAAGAACAACTTTCAAAAACTGTCCTAATAAATAAAATGTGAGCAATCACTCGTGTATGTGTAACATGATATATCCTGCAAATCTGCGCAAAACTTCGAGCATATTTAATAAATAAATAAAAAATAAATAAATAGAATAGAATAAAATAGAAATATAAAATAAAACTATCTTTACGCTGCTGAGTTCTGTGGTTGGATCAGGTCAATGTGGTCAGAACACGATTTACCAATCGCGTTTCACGCCTCTCGCCGTAGGTACGGGAAGCGGGCAGGGACAGTTCTGTATCCCAGATGACAGAGCTTTAGCCGGCTAGCTTTCCGTGGCAATGGCGGCGCATCTGAAAAAGCGAGTTTATGAAGAATTTTCCAAAGTTGTCCAGGTGAGCACATGAAATCCCCTTTTTTCGGTGCTGGTTGTTTGGTTTTTGATAGATGGGCCGAATAGAAAAGGAGGAAGATGCGGCTACATGCTAACTAGCTTGTTGTTTGCTCGCTGTTTGACAGCCCAGACAACAAGCCCTGTCAGTAAATTGTGCTTTTTTTTCTTCACCACAAAGCAACTGTTTTGCTCTAAATTGGGCTGTCTGTTGTCGTTTGTAAGAGTATGTTTGTTTATACTGTAGCAAGCTAGCAACCTCAGAACAAGCTAGTTAGCTCCTGCTAACGTTGGCTAACGAGAGATTCAAACATCTGAGTTTGTTTTTCTTCGGAATAATTTGTTCTAACAGTTGCAATTAGCACGTGCTGCCTTCACTTTCTTCGTTTCCAGGGGGAGAAAGTCACCAAACTTTAAATCTGTGAATTTTTTCTGGGATTCCATATTTTAAGGAGAGTTTGTTGTTATTATTAAACATCAACAAATGCACCAATTCCTGTCCTCATTGACTTATAATGGCAGCCATGAGGTGAAAGGTCAGACTTCCACAGATCTTTCTCTTTTTTAATGTATGAAACAGCGGATAAAATAGCAGTAACAGGTTTAAATGTTAGATATTAGAGAACAGATGCTGAAACACCTCTCACCTTCCCCAGATCCCCCATGAAGAGGCTCCAGCCAAGAAGCTGCGTCTGTCCAAACCCAGCAAGTCCGCAGCTCTGCACGTCGACCTCTGCAAAGCCACCAACTCCACCGATGCCCTGCAGTACCTGCTGCAGTTCGCTCGCAAGCCCGTGGAGGCCGAGAGCGTGGAGGGCGTGATCCGGATCCTGCTGGAGCACTACTACAAGGTGAGGGGATCCCAGAGGGCCCCTCAGAGCAGATTTGATTAGATTTGTCCCGATCCGATATTTGCAAAAATCTGCGTATCGGCCGCCAGGAGAAAATGCAGATCCAGAGTCCAGATCCATTTTTTTTTCTGTAGCTACATGAGCACTTTGCATACGACCCACCAACAGATTTCCCTTTCTGTTAAGTGTCAGGCTTGTTTACTGGTTTTGGTTGTGGGTTTTCCACTGTGTTTTAGCTCCCCTGAACGTTCCCCAAACTCTCCACCTTCCACACCTGCATGTATCTGACAGCAGTTTCATAGCAGCTGCTTTATCTTTTGTGCAAAGTAAAATGAATAATCTCCACATTATTTACCATCTACTTAAAGGCAAAAGCACACGTTATTGTGTGATTATTACGGTTACGAAGGGGCTGAGCTGCAAAGTAAAAAAGCTAATTGTTCTGGAGTTTTACGCTTCTCTTCAGACTTCCTTTAATCTTTAAAGGCGGTTCTTAACTCTCCAGACTTTCTGAGGCTCTTTCAGAGTGTTTCTGCTTTTTCTCGCCTCCCATTTTGACCCATTCAGGGAGACAAAAAGGCCCCAACCTTTAAATCCCTGTTCAACATGAGTCTGACAACTAAGTTAGTATATAAATAACTTTAAACTTTAACACATACTGATAGGCCGGGATCGGATCGGTATCAGATAAGAATAGAAAAAAGCTGGAACTGGACATCCCTCCCTAACCAGAACTTCTGGATTTTGGAAACCAAAAACAAACAAATCCGACACTTTTGTGTCATAAAGGTTTGAATCAAAAGCGGAAACAGAAAAAACTCTTCTTAAAACCCACCTCTTTTCTTTGGCTTTAGACACCATAGAGCGTTGATTTTATGTGTATACATGTATATTCTTATCCTGTGCAGGCAGTGCATTTTTTTTATTTTTTATTTTATTTTATTTCCTCTGCAGGAGACTGATAACTCGGTGAGGCTGAAGATCGCCTCCCTGCTGGGTCTGCTCTCCAAAACTCACGGCTTCAGCCCCGACTGCATCGTCGACGACGCCATCAACACCCTCGGCAACGAGAGTGAGCCATGTTTTATTTATTATTTTGAGATGAAATGTGAAACCCTAATCCTAATACTAAACCTAATGCTAACTCTGAATTTAACCCTAAATTTACCTTAACCCTAAACCTAATTGTAATCCTAATACTAAACCTAACTTTAACCCTAAATTGACCTTAACCTTAACCCTAATTCTAATCCTAATACTAACCCTAACCCTAAATTTACCTTAACCTTAACCCTGACCCTAATCATTAAAATAAACCTTAACCCTAACCCTAAACCTAATTCTAATCGTAATACTAAATCTAACCCTAACCCTAAATTTAAACCTAAATTTACCTAAACATTAACCCTAACCCTAAATTTACCTTAACCTTAACCCTAATCCTAATACTAAACCAAACGCTAACCCTAAACTTAACCCTAAATTTACCTTAACCCTAAACCTAATTCTAATTCTAATCCTAATAACCTAACCCTAAATTTAACCCTAAATTTACCTAACCCTAACCCTGTCCCCTCGTTCCTTAACAGAGTCCCATCAGGTCCTCGCCCAGCTGCTGGACACCCTTCTGGTCATCGGAGCGCAGCTGCCCGAGAGTCCTGCTGTCAGACTGAGGCTCATAGAGGTGGCCTGCAAGGTAACACACACACACACACACACACACACACACACACACACACACACACAGACACACACGTACGCACACACACACACACACACACACACACACACAGACACACACACGCATACACACACGCACGCACACACAGACACTCACAGACACACACACACACACACGCACGCACACACACACACACGCTCACACAGACACACAGATACATACAGACACAGACACACAGAGACACACACGCACACACATGCATACACACATACACTAGCACTGCGCACACTCACACACACACAGACAAACACGGACACACACAGACAAACACGCGTACACACACAGACACATACACACACACACACACACACACAAACAGACACAAAACACACACACACTAGCAGTGCACACACACGCACACACACACACAGACAAACACATGCATACACACACACTAGCACTGCACACACACACGCACGCACGCACGCACGCACACACACGCACGCACGCACACACACACACACACAAACGGACACAAAACACACACACACTAGCACTGCACACACACGCACGCACGCACACACACACACACACACACGCTCAGACACACACTCATGCACACACACACACACTCACATGCACACAGACACACACACATGTTCACATACACACACACACACACATCCAGTGTTTCTGAGCTCAGATGATGCTGTTTTTATGTGTTTTTTGTGTTTTTTCCCTCCTTTAGCACCTCTCTGATACGTACTTCGGGGTGAGAAACAAGTGCCTCCAGCTGCTGGGCTGTGTCGGCATGGTGGACGCTCCTCTGACCAAAGACAGCGAAGCTCCCGGCACATCCTCAGGTCAGAGCTGCCAAAGCCTGTTTTTCCTCTCGAAATATTTTTAATTAATTAGGATTTTTAGGCTTTTGTGGCTGCATTTTTGTGCAATCGTGCTTTTTAAAAAACATCTCACCTCACAGTTAAATTAGGGTTGTCACGATACAAAAATTTTCAGCTCAGTACCAATACTCAGGAAAATATTCGATACTCAATACCATTTTCGATACCACAAGGATAAAAACAAAACAAAAACCCCAAAATTTAACTTCGAAAGTTTAGTGTCTTTCGTTTCAAACTTACTTAGACTTGTACTTTATTGATCCCTTGGGAATAGGGATGGGAATCTTCACCACCAAGGCGATACGATACACATCTCGATACACAGCCACATTCACGATTCATGGAATTTCTAGTGATAAGATTCGATACGATTCTCCAACCTCCTGCGATCCGGTGCGATACAGAACGATCTAAATTTAAAATGCTGCGATACAGTGCGATACGATACGACACAATACGATGCGATGCAATGCAGAAGAAAAGTACACCATGGACTACATAGTTCAAGTTATGGCACGCAAGCTAACTGTGCCTTTTATTTTGAAACAAAGGAAGTGCAACTTAGAGAGTGATTGTCTCTGAAACTTTACAAGTGTAAACTTCAAACAAAAGGGATGGAGTGAAACGCAACTAAAACTCAAAGACACGTTTCTAAAAAGTTATAATAATAGAAGATAATAATCGGTTTGTATCGATGCAGGTAGTTTTATACGATGCATCTCGAGTTTATGTGCGGTTTTTACCGATGCAGACGTTTGCAAATCGATGCAACCGTATCGCACAGGTCGTTCCGATGTTCCGATATGCATCGGTGAATCTTGCCATGCCTACTTGGGAAGACTCCCTCGGGGAATTAAAGTTACCAGCAGCTTACAGGGCAAAAAAGAGAGCAAAATGCACAAAAGAAAAACAGAGTAAAAAATAAAAACCCCTAAATACAAAAAATACAAAGTAAAAAATAAAAACCCCAAAATACAAAACATACAAAGTGTAAAAAAACAAAAAACAAATCTATAACTGATGTTATTGTTATTAGCCATTAGCCGCAGCCAGCAATTCAAGGCTAACGTCACATTTATGATCATAAACAACGTAAATAAATAAATAGATCAGAGAAAAAACAACGTAAATGGGGGGGGGGTATTGATACTTTTGAAAATTAGTATCGTATCCGGATAAAACGTTTTAGTATCGATACTTTTTTGGGAGTATCAATACTTTTGACAGCCCTAAATTAAATTAAATGCAGATTCACGCTCAAATCTTTGAAATTATCTTTGAAACAAGTTTGGTTGCGATGTGTTGTCTGATTGTGGTTTGTTTTTGGTTCAGCACCAGGAGGAGGGAGGGACGTCCAGGGCATCATAAGCGAGTACTGTTCGGACCAGGACCCCAGAGTGCGCACGGCAGCCCTCAAAGCCATGGTGGGACCCGGCAAACGGGGGGGGGGGTTAGGGGTTTAGGAAGCAAAGCAGGAAGCAGGCGGCTCAATCCTGTGTTTGTTTGTTTGTTTGTTTGTTTTCCAGCTTCAGCTTCACGAAAGAGGGATGAAGATCAATCAGATCATCTATGAGCAGGTACAGCCCTCTGTGTCTCTAAAAGAGAACAACTCTGGGAAATTTAAGATGCTTTTCTGTCTTTGGATCTTTTTTCTGTCCCTCTAAACTTCTCTGGTTTCCAGCACAGATTCCAGGGATTAAAAAGAAGTAACAGGGAGATATTTATTAGGGATGTCCCGATCTAGCTTTTTTTCTCTTATGATCCGATCCGATCCCGGCCTATCAGAGCATGTCTTAAAGTTTAATGTTATTTATCTACTTACTTAGTTGTCAGACTCATGTTGAACAGGGATTTACTCTGATAACAACTTAATGGTTAGGACACAGACCTGTGGGTTACAGATGCTAATGCTAATTCTGGGCCTTTTTCCACTCCTGAGCTCAGCTCGGTTTTGGTAGCTTTTAACTGAGCTGGTTAACAGGTTAACACAAAAGTCGCACAACGCTGTGGTGAGGATTCACCTCCTGTCCCGGGTTCCTGTGTTTGTGGGTTAGTGATTGTGGGTTAGTGATTGTGGGTTAATGGTTGTGGGTGGTTGTGTGTGGGTTAATGATTGTGGGTTGTTGTGTGTGGGTTGTTGTGTGTGGGTTAATGATTGTGGGTTAATGGTTGTACGTTGTTGTGTGTGGGTTAATGATTGTGGGTTAGTGATTGTGGGGTAGTGATTGTGGGTTAGTGATTCTGGGTTAATGATTGTGGGTTAATGATTTTGGGTTAGTGATTGTGTGTTAGTGATTGTGTGTTAATGGTTGTGCGTTGTTGTGTGTGTGTTAGTGATTGTGTGTTAATGATTGTGGGTTAATGGTTGTGTGTTAGTGATTGTGGGTTAATGGTTGTGCGTTGTTGTGTGTTCAGGTCTGCCGGCTGCTGTCAGACGACTACGAGCAGGTTCGCTCTGCCGCCGTACAGATGGTCTGGGTGCTCAGCCACCTGTACCCCGAGAGGTATCTATCTATCTATCTATCTATCTATCTATCTATCTATCTATCTAT